GGGGGGGGGGGGGGTAGGTGACCTCCCTGGAGAGCCCTGGCCCTTTACTGTGGCTGACAACTGTGGTTTTCCACCAGCCTCTGACACTTGTATTCAGCTTTAAATCTTCTTTTATATAAACGCCAAGGTCTGCGCCAGCTATCTAGACATTTTGGGCAGCCCACCACTGCCAAATGAAGCCGACCAAAATGCCCGCCGAGTGCCTTTTCGCTCTTTGCTAACGGATCCAGCTTAATAACGAATGAAACCCGTGAGATTCCGGGGCAGGATTTCTAACGGCGTTTTCGGCAGAGACAGGCTGTCAGCACTTGTTTAAAACCTTTAGGTGTGTGACACTATGAAGTTTTTTGGTGTGGACATGATTTTTGACGGCCTGACATCAGGTTGTGGGGAAAGAACTGAAATGAGATTAGAAATATAAGAAAATGTTGATTAATAAGTGCCTGCCAGTGGAAAGGTGTTCCCCGCAGCCAGCCTTCGCCGTCCCTCTCTGCGCGTGGGCTCGTTAGGAGGGCGTCATTAGGAGTAATTGCAGCTGTGCGTAAACTTCTCTTTAGGCAGTAGGAAACGGGTTATGAAAGCCAGCTCCAGCGCACCCTCACGCTGCAGCTTCACCGAAGCAACCCTGAGGGAGCCGGTGGCTGGGGCGAGAATACCGGGAGCGAGTCGGAAGGTCATTGGGATTGGTGCTCCAAAACGTTATGTGTCGCATGAAACTTCGTAGGGACGTGAACGTGTTACTCGGAATACAGACAGAACGGGTTTTCCCATGAGAATTTTTTGGGCTTCCTTAACGGGACCGCTCTCACTGTTCATTTTTACGGTCGGTGGGGAATGTGAGAAGTATTACAACAGGGGCTGTTGCCCTTCGTCTGACTTCGCATCAGAGGCGCAGCGAATCACGGATTGTCTTTGCTCGTTCCTGGAGACGGTGGGGGAACAAGGCGCTGCCTGTGCTGCCCCACTGGTCCCGTTCCTGTGGGGCTGGGAGGCCGGGGGCTGTCCCCACCCACCGCTGCCTCTGCAGAGGGAAATATTTGCTGTGGGCCGACATCCGCAGCTATGTGCTAGTCCTGAGCTAGCGTGAAACTCCCGCAGGATCCAGTCCACTAATTTCTGCTTCTTGCTTTGGATTCTCCTCTGTCCAGCTATTTCCCCCTCTCATCTTCATCCGACCTCCTGAAAATGCTTTATTATGCAGGTGGAGGTAATTAATTTCCAGAATTAAGCAGCTCAGACACACCCAAAGATTATAACGCAGGGCACCTTTGGTTGCCTTTGGAAATAGTGACAGTGCAAAGTGTCAGTACCTCCACAGTCCCCCCTGCAGGTCTGGCTTTTAAACACAGCACCTTTTAATTCAACCTCACGCCTAATGAAATCCTTCTCTTCGCTCGGTAATACCCGGCTGCCTGTCTGGCTGCGGCAGCCGCTGCTGCTACTAAATGAGCTGAAAACAGACAAACCGACTTCGGCGCTAATTAAACGCACACAAGAGCAATCCAGGAGGTTTTGACTTAAAATTTGCTGATTTTATATGGAATTACCTCAGAAGCTTCAGGCAGAATTACGTGAAACATACTTCCTCTCTCCTCCCTGTCCTTCATAATTAATTAATCTCTAACCTTTTTACTATCTGTCTGTTAATTTGCTTTATTCACCCCTCTGGTATCACAGTGAAAAACTCACTGATCTGATTATTATTTAAGCTGTCCTTTCCTTGGCCTCACCGTTTCCCAGGTCTGAGGCTTCGGTTTAATTTTGAGACTCTATCGAGCGGTTTCTGTCACAAATCCTGTTGTATATTTTCGGAATTTGCCACTAGAGGATGCTGTGCAAACCGACATGCTGCGCACATTGAGCCCTGCAGCGTCAGCTTCCAGACCCCTCCATCCCTCGTACCGAAGTGCAGGAGATATTTCTGCGGCGTGGTTCGCCAGAGGAAGACACCTGTACCGAACCACAGACGAGCAGAGTAGGGTACTCCCTTGTATTGACACGGCAAGCGTAGACTGATTTCAGCTCCCCCTCTCTTGCTCTGATGGGCTTTGATATCGCGATGGGCAGATTCTGCTCAAGTTCTGCCTCATCACTCCATCCAGGGGAGTCAAAGGCAAGCCGGAGGTGGGTATGCTTGGCTCAGCTCAGCTCGGCTCGGCTTGGCTCAGCTCGGCTCGGCTCGGCTCTGAGGTGGGCACACCCTGAGCTGCGCAGAGACGGGGGGCAGCAGACCCAGCACGGAGGTTTCTCCCCTTTCTCACTTAAGAGAGACAGCAGAAGGGGAGCAGGAGGCCGGGGAATGTCCCTGACAGACAGCCTACAACACCGCTGGCTCCTTTCTGGGATCAGAAACATTCTTTATATTTAAACTGTGGTCAAATAAGATATTTCATCCCGAAGTCCACTATAGCTGGCCAACGCTGAGCTTTAGACCAGCACTGTCCGGTACGAGAAATAAAATGGAGCATGAGGCAGAACGTGCGTCTCTGTTAGCTTGTACAGGAGTGTGAGAGTCCTGCCGTGACTCAAGGGAGAGAGATTTTTTCTTTGACTTTACAAATCTCCTTTGTTTTCTAGGGAAATAGTTTCTCTGACTCATCTCTTCTGCTGTGCTGAGAATTTGGCTTTGGATTGTAACATGTAGACAGTCTGATGCCGTTTTAAATAAGACGTCGTTATCCCAAAAGATATTTTACCTGACCTGAATCTGTTTGCAAAGCAAAGTGCAAGTGCAGAGCTACTTGATGGAATAAAAACTGTGATTTATGCGCTGTTCAGAGAACAATGAAGGCTTGGGAGACCCACCCTTATTGTCACAGGGTGGCACTTGAGTCACTCACCTGATATGTGGCAGACCCTGTTCAGCTGCTTTCTCAGTCCACTGCAAATCAAAGACTGAAATACCGATTGGTAAGTTTTAAATGAGTGAGATACTTCCCGAGTTTTTCTTCTGCTGCTAAGCCCGAATAGTGGAAGTGTGTTACATGAAGTGGAGCCGTTTAAGTAAGAAAGGTTGAACCTCACCCCCACCCTGCCACCCTCTCCCCGTCCACCCAGAGTTCTCTACAACCGTCGAGCCAGGAAGAGTCTGATGCACTAAGAGAACACACTTCCTTTGGTTTGAACCGTCCGATAAAAGACCTGAGCCCAGATCTTCCAACACGTCAGGAGAAATAATCCTAACACGTGAACTTCGTGTTATAAGGAGAACTCTGCGTGAGCATCACTCACTTCCTGATCTAAGCCTTTTGCCCTCATCTAAAAGTTGGGACAGAGGCCTGCCTGAATATGAGTGATTCGTGTTCACTGACCCAAAGGAGAACGGTTTTGATTTGACAGAGTTTTCATGAAATTTTGGGGTTAATTAATCCTGAATGTTTCAGTGCAGCTGCTGAGCTGTCGGATCGACTGCTTGCACATCCCCTGCAATGTGCACTAGGCAGAAGGGTTTCACCCATCCTTTTTTTTTTTTTCCCCTGTAGGTGTCACTCTTGAGTTTCATGTGAAAGTATTCGTTCATCCCTGATATTTTATCCAGACTTAGGTTAGGATACACAGTTTTCTTCGGGGCCGTATGACATGATACACCCAACCTTAATTCCTCTGTGAAGGTACATCTCATTTGTTCCACCTAAATTTAAAGACAATACTGGTATACCAAACAGAGTGTTGGACACACGGTTTCCTTTGCATTGCAGAAAAATAAAGTTTTATTAGAGGCATTGTTATCAGCAGAAAGTAGATCGCCATTCACATGGCAGACGTGTATGTAGATTTGCGTATGAAGAACAGTATAAAAAGGAAAAAGGAGCGAATTTTAGGAGAGTCCCAATTATTCATCACGGCTTCATGAATAACATTTGCAGAGCAGTCTGTGCGTTGGGTAGGTCCCGAGTGCTGGTGCTGTGTCTACCATCACGCCCTGGGCCGGGCTGCTCCCGGGGCTGTAGGTCGGTCAGGGGCGGCCAGTGCATCGGTGGTATCTTAGCACACTCGTGACTGCCCTGTGGAATGAAAGAAGAAACGAACCATCACTCTGATGGGGAAATCAAGAGCCTCTTGCAGCACCGCGGATGTACCATTACTTAAACGTCCATCTGTGTTAGCAAACGTGTGAGAAAGGAGCTTAGGCTGTTTCTGTAACTGAACCTAAACCACCTGGAAATGCAGAGATTTGATTGTGAAAGGTTTCATCCCTGTTGCACACAGGGGGTAGTATTAACAGGAAAAGAGATGAAACACAAAATATGAAAGCCATGGGGGAAAGGATAAATTAGGAACCTTTTTGGAAGATGCTTCTTACCTGTCTTGTCGCCAGATTGACCATGGGAGTAGGTGGTAGAAGAATAAGAGTGGGAGGACATTCCCCCTCCTTGGAGAGCTCCTTGAGACGTTCTGTGCAAGGAAAGGAATTTTAATGACGGGAATGATAAATACATTCATAAAGAGACATACGGTGACATAATGTGCAGCGCAGGTGGCAGCTCAGCTTTTCCTGGACCTTGCAAATAGTCCTTTCAATTTTTTGATCGAATTCTTTTCAGGTATATTTTCCTAGGAGGTTGGAGAAGCAGAAATAAAACAAGACGGCAGAAGTACAATTCTTCTGCTCTCACAGTGCGGTTGTGCTTGCCGAAGGCAGTGCATTACAGTTGGGTTTTGCGTGGTGACTCCTCGCCTGGAACTCACTCTGCACAAACAGGCCCAGAGGAGCTGATTGACTGAACAGACGTCAGGAACACGCTCGGTGTTTCCCTCTGGGTTTGATGTGCTTATTTTATGGTATTTCTATTTCAGTGCAGATGGTGTGGAAAAACCTGATGTATTTAGATTTCAACTGTAGACGGGTAAAATATTCTAAGCTGTCTCCTGCGAGTCTCAGAAGAGAAAAGATTGGGATAGAACTCATCCCCTATATTTGCAAACTCAATACGTACACAATGTCTTGCTGTCCCTCCTGCAGCAGGGCCCGGTACTGCGCAATCTCCTGCTCCAGGCGGGTCTTGATGCCCAGGAGCATCTTGTACTCCTGGTTCTGACTCTCCATCTCGCAGCGGATGCTGGCCAGCTCCTCCTCCACCGAGTTAATCTGCCCTTGGATTTGTTGCAGCAGGCAGCCATAGCGAGATTCAGTTTCGGCCAAGGAGTTCTCCAGAGAGTTTTTCTGGAGGCGGAAATGCAGGTGTTTAGGAGCGGAGCTCTCGCCCTGCCGGCCC